AAAGTATCGTTTAAATTAAAATGAATGTATTCACCATTAAACAACTTTTTAAATTTAATTTTTCGAGGAGTTTTTAGCAATGTACGGCAATCTAGTGGTAAATCTGGATGAAAGTCATGAAGAACATGTAGAAGATTAGTAACCGAAGTATGTGTTATTTTCTCAGATAAGGCCCAAAATGTTAATCTTTCCTTTAAATTGGGATGTTCAAATAATGTATCGACTGATGAAGATTGAACATTTGATTGATTGTTAAATTCATTATCAAAATTTGTTAATTGTGGTATGTTATCTGTAGTTGAATCATAGCCTTCTAAAATATTATTAGATAGACTATTGTCAACTTGTAAAGGATTATCAAAACAATCATTTTCAAAGTGTAAAGAGTGATTGAGACCGCTATTGTCAACTTGCATATATTTATCAGGACAGCTATTACCAAATCGCAAAGAATTGTTACACACCACTTGCGTTTCCGACTGGAGAGTTGCATTAATTCTCCTATTTAATTGCCGTTTACTAACAATTTCTTTCAATTTGATTTTTTTCTTAAACATATTGTATTAGTACACTTATAAAGAATAATAATAAACGTAGTTTTGAAAACTACGTTTATTATTATACTAACTTTTTTACGAAACGTAGTTTAGAAAAATAAAAATTTCAAATATTTATGTGAAATCAAATGTAACTAATCAAACTAGTAGTATTTTGGTGGTATAGGCTTACTGCAGCAGTCAACAAATATTAGATCGATTGAGCTTCCAAATCGTTTTTTCTTTGCTTCTTCAACATGTTCTTCTGCCTCTGAGGAGCGTGTTTAAGCCAAACTTTTATTGCACTCTCTACCTCATCTTCTTGTACCCATTGTCTATTCTTCAGAACTGCAGCTGAAAATTAAAAAAATTATGAAAACAAAATTCATTGTTAAATGTTCTCATAAAACTAAATCGATTAAAATAAGATATTTTTTATTGTTTGTTGCCTTGTCAAATTAAATAACTTTTTTGAAACTACATTAACATCTTCATTTTCCTTCAAACTTATGAAAAATAAATATTATAATATCAAAACTTTCTATAGGTAAACATTGACTACGCAAGTACTAGTAACATTAATTTTTTTTAAATAGACATTCTTAGAAATTGTAATTGTTATTAGAATACAGACTTACTAACATAAAATAATTTTCTTCAGTTGTAGTATGTGAAACGGTTTTTTGTTCGATCGTGACCCGAAGTAATTAAATTTTGATGCTGCTACGTCAGTGATAAGATACTTCAAAATCCGATTGGTTATGGAGACTGCTCCGCTTCCCCCGAGAGTAGCAAGATGAGATATCTATAAACAAAAAGCATAAGAAGGTTAAACTAAATTTTAAAATAAATTAATTATTTCTTACCATTTTTTCAGTTTTCTTTCGAAGTTTTTAAATATTCTTCAAATTCCTTAACGTTATCGTATGACTTAAGAGGTAAATCACAAGGAAAATCTGTCGGATCAATTTGCCGTTCCGGTTGTATCTGTCTCAGCAATGCCAACATTTGTTTGTTTTGTTCCTTCATTATCAAAATATGTCCAAGTAATAAATCTATAACATTAACAAGAACTAGTAAACGTTTTGTTAATATAAAAAAGAATAAATTAGTACTAACCATTAAATCGCACATTTTGGCCGGCTTCATCCCTTGGACGATTTCTCGATAGAATAGACTCTGGGGGTGTAATATTAGTAGAAGCTCGAACTGTATTAGTAGAACGTGGAGTAAGGCTAGTCGAAAAACTAGAGATTGGTTGACGTTCTGTCGTTCTCACATCATGGCTGATTGTGAGTTCATCCCTTTCTTCATTTGTAGACACCGTGGAAACCGAAGAACTACTCTTATGAGTACTCAACGAAGGAGGTGAACGACATGCAATCGGTGATGTAATTTTTATTGTTTTTGGCCGTTTTGCTGATCTAGATGAGGAAGTTTTTTCAGCTTCAGAATTAGAGCTATAATCGTCGAAAGCTAACTTTTTCGCTGTTGGTCGCCTTCTTCTGACCTTATCCTTTTCACTGTCGGTGTCCACGTTAGACGTGAATTCGACCTTCTTCCTTTTTTTAAAGGCTACGTCTAGATCATCTAAAAAAATTGTAAAAAAATATAAATATTGTACTTTTGTTTAACCTTAAATTAAAATATTCCAAATTAATAATTATCTTTTTAATAAACGTTTCGACCCTGTTTCGGGTCTTCCTCAGTATAACTCGTTAAATTTGACTGGTTTGAGAATCATTCCTCTATCAGCTATGGTCTCACTTTTTCTCTAAATGGTCCCAGACACAAAGAGGACTGAAGACTCAGGTCGACAGAGAGATGAATCCGTTACAAAGGTTTTAACAAGACTGTGACACAGCATTATCGAATGTTATCATAACACTGTATGTTACATTCGATAATGCTGTGTCATAGTCTTGTTAAAACCTTTGTAACGAATTCATCTCTCTGTCGACCTGAGTCTTCAGTCCTCTTTGTGTCTGGGACCATTTAGAGAAAAAGTGAGACCATAGCTGATAGAGGAATGATTCTCAAACCAGTCAAATTTAACGAGTTATACTGAGAAAGACCCGAAACAGGGTCGAAACGTTTATTAAAGAGATAATTATTAAAAGATAATTTGTTTTCAATACTACTGCCCTTTTGTTATTTTCAAAATATAATATAGACTGTGATAAAAACAACAAAATATAGTGTTAATAAAAAAACTTTAATTGGTATATCAAAGAAGAAAAAACATCATATTAAATGCTAACTTACCAGTTTCATAAAATATCCTTTCGACCACATGCAATTTCCATGTCTTTGGATCAAGCTCTTCATCTTTTTTGAGTGCTCTCATAAAGATTCCATTCTCTTTGTATGGTGGCCAGAAAACTTCTTTTTTCCTCGGTGTCAGCCACTTCGTACACACTACGGTTACTTCCAAGGATCCTTTAAATTCAATAACTGAATATTTTTTATTCATGTTGATCTAAAAGTTATGATTTAACGTAAATTAAATTATTTTTAATGCTGCCTAGCAAACACAAAGTAAGAGTAATGTAATATTAATGTTATTATTTCTCACTCAACAATATAACTGCTACGTACAAGGCATGTTACATTGCAGTTACATTGTTGAGTAGGAAATTATAACTTTAAGTTATAAAAAA